AACTGTGTAGCAATGGTGGTTTTTTACTTCTGTTTTTTTTGCTTCAATACCATATGCCTGTGAACCCCTCAGCTCCCACACTGCCCTGCCCTCTGGAGTGGGGGTAAGAAAGCATCCATCAGAGGTGGGAGAAGGAGGCTCTGGCTGCTTTTGCAGTTAGAGCAATGGGGGAAAAGAGTAAAAACATCCACCAGGTAACGCCCGGAGGGCCATAACTTAACCCCTCTGTCCTAAACAAAAGACATTTCAATGCAAGTTCCCCACTTCCTCTGGTTCATCTACACTTTGAAGACTCCTTTCATAAAACCTCCAAGAATTCATAGTCTCCTCTTTAGGATCTTGATCAGATTTAATTTTCTTTTAAATGAGTCATGTTTACAAAAGCTGCAATATTCACCTGCTATTCTAGGGAGGTGAATACAAAGATGATGTAGCCCACTTTCTAGTTTGTTATTTGGTGCAGTCTGCAAGCTCAAGCGCTGTTACAACAAGATGAAATATAGTGCAAAATGTCTTTCCTGTATCTTGTTTTTATTTTAAGGGGGAGTTGCTGGGAACATTTGTGTTTATAGGAGTATGTAGGCTTACTTATATGCTGCATGCTGTGGGACAGTATTTTAAGTCGCATGCTGTGCAGGGCAGGGGCCACCTAATTTGTGTTTGCACAATGTTCACCTCAAATCCTGATTAGACTTTGAGCACGACCATAATGTACTGGTATACTACTGCTTAAGAAGTTGCTACGAAATAAGCAAATCATAACTTCAGTTCAACAGCACTGGAATGAAGAATTCCACCACACCAGTTGCCTGGACCTTTTGTCTTGCCTGTAGCTCATTTTTAGTTTTTAAAATAAAATGTACAAAAAGTACAGCTTTGACAGCCCACATTTATGTAATGACAAATTACTAAATTAAACATTTTTTAACAGAAACTTTAGACATTTGAGACTTGAGACTCAGCTGGCTTCCTTCCAAAGAAGTAGTTTCACCTACGATCTACATTAACTTGCCAAAACCTATGGATTCTTATCTAGCCAAATCCTGTAATTTAAGATGCAAGATATCAGGATGGATCGTTTACAGCTAGAACACACGTAAGCAGGCTTTATTCAAACAGCAATCTATAATTGTCAGGACTTACTATTCAAATAAAACAGCATCCACATTTAAGGCACCCTCAACAGAAACAGAAATATCAAGCATTCAGCTAAAAACAGTGGGATTCTACAGACTTGCAAAGGCTACCTTTTGGTTTCAGAGTCCAAACTCTACTATCTACAATACTGTGGTCTTGCCACGATGTAATAGCAACTGGCAAAGATGCCACTTTTCCCTGCTCTCCTCTGCTCACTTTAAAATATGAGTATTGTCACTGGAAAGTTTCAGTCAGAGATTCAAAGTAGTAGATAAATGGCATACAGACTCATATTATGCAGATTTTCCCCTTATATTTATTTGATGTAAAAAAAGTTACATAGGACAAATAAGGTTCTTAAAATACCTTGAGTGAAAAGTCAGGGTAAATATGTACCTTTACAGACTAACATATATACACATATACATGCGTGCATGTGTTAGTCTATAAAGGTGCACATTGACCCTGGCCTTTCACTTCAAAAGTGTCAGACTTCAATTAAAGCTTTTCAAATGGCAGGAGAGAAGTTACCACAAATTTGAGCATTGCTCACAGATTTCCACGTGTCCTCATTTTGAAATCAAAGGTTTGCATTTCCTTGCAAGCCAACAGTAATACTTAGGGCAAAAAATGCAACACACCTAGTGTGACAGCCTAGAAGCATAATAGAAGCATTCACAGACTGACAGGATCCATGCGTTTCTTGAGATCTCAGTATCACTAATACAAAACAAAAACAAACAAACAAAAAAAACAACATGCCTTCCCCTCCTACTCCCCAAAACCCCATGAAGATGTTAAGGAAAAGGACCTGAAGCTGTAGTAAAACATTTTGCAATGTGGTACCTTCTGAATTCATAAAAAAAAAAAGAGACAAATCCTTTAAATTTCCTGCTTTTAAAAGCCAACGGCCAAATCCTGTAAACCTTTATCACTTAGATCCAAGTCATCCAGCTGAACCTGCATGCTTACATTTATGACACCTAACTTCAGTGGAACAAGTATGGAACGGCTTGCAAGACGCTATATAAACAAATCAGACATATTAACATAGGGCTAGCACTTCACATGTATTTCACCATACCTTTTTCATTTCATTTTCTAGATTTTCCTCCTCTTGCCCTTCAGATAGCCGCCTTCTCAACTCTGCTACTTCTCTTTCCATGTTTTCCCGATATTGGTTCCATTGAGTTCGCTCTTGCTCCAGTCTATGATGAAACTGGAGCTCATAGTCACGAACGGTTTCTGTAAAACAATGTTTTCAACACTCATTTGCAATACAAGTTATAAACATAATCTCCAACTATGTCTTCCAGCTGACCTTTTCTATTTTTACCCTTAAAGGTATTCATTATCATCAGTTTCGGAAGAAGTATAAGAGCTATCTTGAGGATCCTGTTGGCAAACTTCTGTGGGGGCAGTAAATGATCAGTAAATATCAAGCCAGAAGAAAATATTTAAATAAAAAAAAACTTAATTGTAACCCGTGTTGCTTAAAAAGCAACACCTAAAAATCAATGCGTTGTTCAGCTACAGTACCAAAAGAAATCTCAGCCTTGTATCCAGACTGGAAAAAGCTTACTCCATTTTTTTGGTCTTCTTCCTGCCCCGTGCCTCCCACCTTGGGTTCTGTATTATACATACTAGCCTTGTCGCCAATGGTTGCTTTAGAGGGAACTCCTTTTAAAAAACGATCCTTAATTAGCAAAGGGGTATCACTATGGAGCAATGGAAAGCACTCAGAGTAAGTACACTGTTTTCAAAGTATTACTACCTCAAGAGCAACAGGAAAGTCAGCATATACGTGCAACATTTTAATTTAAACAGATATATTCATGTCTATGTGACATATTTAGAGTATTAGATTATACTTCCAGAAATGGAAGATATGGAATCACAAAACTACTGAGTCTTTGCAGATGATTGCAGATTGTGCTGGTGTGAAATTTAAAACCACTTTATCATTATTCAAGCTGATTTACAGATATCATGCTGTCACCCTGAAATGTAATATAAGTTAAATATAATACTGGTAATATAATGTAATATAAGTTAATATAAGACTGCTAGTAATACAGTCAGGTTAATTAAAACAATGGCTTATGTCTTAAAGGTCTGTGTGTTCCTTCTTGTAGGCATTTTGGCTCAAGAATACCTCAGGAATTGTGCTGTGCACCAGAATGTCACCTATTGTACAGGTTGTTGCAGCAAAAAAGAGTAAGATTCTGTGGCAGAGTGACATATTTAGTTACAAGGCAGGAAAGAAGCCACGGGTTGGCACCGAAGGGACAACTAAGGGCTTGGCAACAAAGCCAAATCTATACACAGAAGCAGAGAATTGTACTGTCAGCTATACACTGCTTTCACATCAGCCAGATCTCACAGAACTTGTTTTTCTTTGTGAAAAACTGAAGACCACAAGCTCAGTCCTTAAAGAATACATAGTACGTGCTAGAGACTTCCTAGCAGAGTGTTCCAGTTACTCTGCACCTCAGTATAGTCTCAAGACAGACCAAGCTGATTCTGACCACCTTGGAACTGATTAGCTAAAACTGAAGTCGTCACTCTAGTTCATAACTGCCCCAAAGCAAGATCTGTATATCTGCCTACATTCCGTACAACACCAAGTACACAGCACAGCTGTCTTGTAGCATCTTGTTCACTAACTTTCTTTCACTTTACCTTTCATAATAGCTTGTAGTGAAGCCACTTCTTCTTGCCACTGTCTCTTTACTTCATCAATAGCTTCCTGTTTTGTATTTTCTGATACTGTAGCTACAGCTTTGATGTTCTCCATTTCAGCCTGGGCTTCCATTAGTTGTGTCCGCAGTTGTCCCAAATCATCTTGTGCTGCTTGTAGCACTGCATTTTGCCTTTTTAGGTCCTCTGAAAAGAAGTATGATTTCCATTTGTTTTGGTTAACAAATTCAGTTTGAAATGCAGTATTATCTGCTACTAAGGCACCACTTTCTGTTGTAAAGGGGGGTAAATGTGATTGATGTTAAAACATTTATCCACGGTGTCTAACAAAAAGACTGAAGTAACATTCTTGATTTCTTTGGGGAGATTTCCTCCACTTCTCGGATCATTTTTCAACTTATTGCTCATTCATGCAGTATAAACACTAAAGGTACTACACAAAGCAGCTGCTGTAAATATCACCCGTCAATCAATATTCCCAATTAAACCCAAATGCATCTACTCTGTGTCACTTAATGAATATGTTGGTAGCAACCATGACCTATAAATTCAAGAATAGGAACACGAGTCAAGAAAATGGAGTTGCTTACTTAATTTTGCTACCAACTTGCTGCCTGGCCTTAATTTAGCCACTTAACCTCTGTGGTTCAAGCTTATACATTTGTAAAATGAGTGGGATGCTACTTTATTGTCTCATTAGAGGCATAACAACACTGCAAGATCCTAGTATTATGGGCGTGCAGAAGTGCCAAGTGTTATTACCCCCCCTCCATGCAAGCTGAAGCCAAAATTTACCCTCCGCCACAACTGTACTGAGAACCACCTAAACCAGGGGCTGTTTTGGCTGGAGGGCTGTTTAATGTGTTTTGATGAGGTGTGGAGGGCTGCAAGAGGAGCCCTGCCCCTTGACAGGTGCCCCGCCCCCTAGTTGCCATCGCAGCCCCCTAACCCTTAACCTCTGCCACTAGGAGTCTCTCCTTGTCCAGGAAATACTCCTTTAGGGGTGGGGGTTTGCTTGTATATTGGGTGTGGAGGGGTAGGGGGGG